CCCCTGAACTCGATCTAGCAAATCATCTATACGCGGTAATGGCTCTGCATTCTTAATCGTGATGGCGTTCAGTCCCCTGTAGTCAATACACATGCACAACTCTCCCTCCTTTGGGACAAACAGAACAGGTGCACCGAACGACGATGAACTAGGCCGGATCCATCCTTTTTCTAGGAGCTCATCTAACTGTCTGCGTAGCTCCTCTAACTCTTTGGGAGACATCCTGTAGACCGCCCCCTTTGGCGTTCTACTGCCAGGTTCTATTTCTATTCGGTGCTGGATCGGTTTGGGCACTACCCCTGAAGGTGGTTCATATAGATCCTTATATTCTTCCAACAGACTGGCAATAGTAGGATGTATCTTTTCTTCCTCCTTAGGCTGATCGGACACTGGCCTAACATAGGCCACGAACACCTGCTCTTCAAGCTGCTCCTTTCGCACAAGCCTGGCGAATGCAGGAGCGCTGAGGCAGCAATGGGCAAGGGATTATCTACCCCGGACTCATGGAACAGGCGGACTTTCTTGACTTCGCCTGACGCACTAGGGAGCGTACACTCGTGCTCTCTGAGGTGAAGTGTGGCTCCTGCTGCCTCTCCCCAATCTGTGCCTAAAACTATGTCAAACGGGAGACTCTTTTCTACAAGGAGGGTCAGGGAGTGCAGTACCTTCTCTACCTTGCCATCTTTCTCCATGTGAAAGTAGGCGTGAACCCCCTCAACATACTCTTCGACGTGCATCCTACTATTGTCTGCGAGGATGCTGACCACAGGCTCTTCTAGTCGTTGGACCTTTAGGTTCAACTTCAACTTCCTCAGCGCTTTACGACTAATATAGCTCCTAGTCGCCCCGCTGTCTATGAGGGTTCCTACTCTAGCTCTAAATATCTCTACATCTGCGAGGATTAACTGTCCTTTACTATCCTTCTTCATCTTGGCCCAGGCTTGCCTCCTCTCTCTCAGTTCATCGGCTAAGCCTGTGAGGGAAGCACCTAAAGAGACCCTAACACAAGCGATCTCTGGACAGCTTACTAGACACTGGCCTGCAACCTCTGCCATGAAAATATGTGGAGTGGGAGACTCTACTTCGATGGCACGCTCAGATCCACATACTCATGAGGTAGGGGCAGTTGCAACCCCTACCGGCGACTGTCTTTTGCTGCCCCAGATGCAGCACGGTCCCTATACTTAGGACAAAATTTGATAATGTGGCTCGGGTCCCCGCAGAATACGCATTGAGAACTATTAATGCGTTCTTGCCATACCCTTTGATCTATACCCAGGTCTAACCAAGGCCTGGATGCCACCTTCCTTGTCTGGGAGGTGACCGACTAGAACTCGGACGGTTAGACGGGGGAACTCCCCTTCCTCCCGCTTGGCGGTTGCCATAGCCGCCAACCCCCTGGCCGCCCTGCCCTCGGCCACCCTGGGCCCAACCACTTGGGCCGGACCGTTGTCCTCCTTGCGGCCTCCCTCCAGCCGCGACAGCAGCGTAGGTTCTCCCCTGGCCTGCGCTATTGTCCTCCTCTAATCCCCACTCGATGTCAGAGTAGGGAACCTCCTCTGCACCACCTTCCTCCATCGTTAAGATCAGACTATCTTTGGCCTTGATTTGGCCTGAGATGGTGCGTCCCTTCCACGTTTTTCCCTTAGACAGATCCTTGTGCTAGAACGTGGTAACTGGCGACGCTTGGGCGGCAAATGCAACTGCCTCCCGACTAAGTGTATCGTAAGTCATGCCCTGCTGATTCTTCTTCTCAAAGAAGTGTCCCTGAATATCTTCAGGCAGGGCGCGGTAGAAGAGGTTAAGGAGTTGCACATCAGTGACTCCATGCCCAGGGACCGCAATCAGTTCGTCCATAGCGGACTTTAGCGCATCCACACTCTTCCACTGGCGAGTGTGGATCATTTGGAGTTTGTCCGAGGCCTTAAGGCCCCGCGTGACATCAGAAAATCGCTCCCTGAGGGCTTTCAGGAAGTCGGAGAGGGGTGTCAGTCTGGAGTATGTAACCATATCGTTATCGCAGTTGGCAGCGTGGGCTAGCGACCTAGCAAAGCTAGTTGCTTCGTCTCTAAGGGCCTGGAAGGCCACCAAAGTGTGGTCTTCAGGTGTGACTCCCTGCAGGTACAGATAGGAGTGCACATTGGCCTCCCAGTTATCAAAATCTTCACCCTTCTTCCCACTGAAGGGTTCGGGAAATCGGACCTTGACTTTCTCGCGACGTGGTGGGGCCGGCTCCTCTTCCTTAGGGGCTGCTAGCTTGGCACCTTCAATGGCGCCAGTACAAAACTCTCGGGTCCTATTAATCGCAATGTGCACTTCGGTCAGCAGGTGTTTCATCATGTCGCACGCGAAGTCCTTGAACACCGCGCGTATCGCGTTTATCTTGATGTCTTGACTGCGTTTGTACTGCATTTGTTCCCGCTGTGCGACTAATAAAGCCTCTACACTTTGGATCAGCGTATCTAGCTTGGTTGCTAGCTCAGTCTCCACTCGGATCTTCCCCATCCTAACTTCCGCCGCTCTTAGGTCCTTGTCCGCCCTCTCTGCCGCTTCCAATCTCCTGACCCTTTCTTGGGATAACCGGTATCTCCACGCCATCCGCTGTTCCTCCTCCTTTGCCCCTCTCTTTACTGGATCCCTCTCTGCTTCAATTTGCCTCCTGGCTGCTTCTCTTTCTTCCTCGGGTACA